CACAAGAGGAAAGTCGGAAAGAACTCAAATACGTGGAGGCTAGAGAGCATCCTACTAAAGAATGAATGGGTCAACCAGGAAATTAAAGAAGAATTTAAAAAATTCATGGAGGGTGCCTGGGTGGCTCAGATGGTTAAGCATCTGCCTTCAGCTCAGGTCATGACCTCAGGGTCCTGGGATCAAGTCCCACATCGGGCTCCCTGCTCAGCGGGGAGCCTGCTTCTCCCTCTGCCTCCCTCTCTCTCTCTCATGAATAAATAAAATCTTTAAAAATAAATAAATAAAATAAAAATAAAAAATTCATGGAAACCAATGAAAATGAAAACACAACTGTTCAAAATCTTTGGGATGCAGCAAAAGCAGTCCTAAGAGGAAAGTATATAGCAATACAAGCCTTTCCCAAGAAACAAGAAAGGTCTCAAGTACACAACCTAACCCTACACCTAAAGGAGCTGGAGAAAGAGCAGCAAATAAAGCCTAAACCCAGCAGGAGCAGAGAAATAATAAAGATCAGAGCAGAAATCAATGAAATAGAAACCAAAAGAACAGTAGAACAGATCAACGGAACTAGGAGCTGGTTCTTCGAAAGAATGAATAAGATTGATAAACCCCTGGCCAGACTTATCAAAAAGAAAAGAGAAATGACCCATATCAACAAAATCATGAATGAAAGAGGAGAGATCACAACCAACACCAAAGAAATACAAACAATTATAAGAACATATTATGAGCAACTCTATGCCAGCAAATTAGATAACCTGGAAGAAATGGATGCATTCCTAGAGATGTATCCACTACCAAAACTGAACCAGGAAGAAACAGAAAACCTGAACAGACCTATAACCACTAAGGAAATTGAAGCAGTCATCAAAAATCTCCCAACAAACAAAAGCCCAGGGCCAGATGGCTTCCCAGGGGAATTCTACCAAACATTTCAAGAAGAATTAATACCTATTCTTCTGAAACTGTTCCAAAAAATAGAAATGGAAGGAAACCTTCCAAACTCATTTTATGAGGCCACCATTACCTTGATCCCAAAACCAGACAAAGACCCCATCAAAAAGGAGAATTACAGACCAATATCCTTGATGAACATGGATGCAAAAATTCTCACCAAAATACTAGCCAATAGGATCCAACAGTACATTAAAAGGATTATTCACCACGACCAAGCAGGATTTATCCCTGGGCTGCAAGGTTGGTTCAACATCCGCAAATTAATCAACGTGGTACAATACATTAACAAAAGAAAGAACAAGAATCATATGATCCTCTCAATAGACGCAGAAAAAGCATTTGACAAAGTACAGCATCCTTTCCTGATCAAAACTCTTCAGAGTATAGGGATAAGATACCTAGGAATAAATCTAACCAAAAAGGCAAAGGATCTGTACTCAGAAAACTAAAATACTCATGAAAGAAATTGAGGAAGACACAAAGAAATGGAAAAACGTTCCATGCTCATGGATTAGAAGAACAAATATTGTGAAGATGTCAATGCTACCTAGAGCAATCTACACATTCAATGCAATCCCCATCCACTTTTTTCAAAGAAATGGAACAAATAATTCTAAAATTTGTATGGAACCAGAAAAGACCCCGAATAGCCAGAGGAATGTTGAAAAAGAAAAGCAAAGCTGGCGGCATCACAATTCTGGACTTCCAGCTCTTTTACAAAGCTGTCATCATCAAGACAGTATGGTACTGGCACAAAAACAGACACATAGATCAGTGGAACAGAACAGAGAGCCCAGAAATGGACCCTCAACTCTATGGTCAACTAATCTTTGACAAAGCAGGAAAGAATGTCCAATGGAAAAAAGACAGTCTCTTCAACAAATGGTGCTAGGAAAATTGGACAGCCACATGCAGAAGAATGAAACTGGACCATTTCCTTACCCCACACACAAAAATAGACTCCAAATGGTTGAAAGATCTCAATGTGAGACAGGAGTCCATCAAAATCCTAAGGGAGAACACATGCAGCAGCCTCTTCGACCTCAGCCACAGCAACTTCTTCCTAGAAACATCGCCAAAGACAAGGGAAGCAAGGACAAAAATGAACTATTGGGACTTCATCAAGATAAAAACCTTCTGCACAGCAAAGGAAACGTCAAACAAAACCAAAAGACAACCGACAGAATGGGAGAAGATATTTGCAAATGACATATCAGATAAAGGGCTAGTATCCAAAATCTATAAAGAACTCATCAAACTCAACACCCAAAGAACAAATGATCCAATCAAGAAATGGGCAGAAGACATGAACAGACATTTTTCCAAAAAGACATCCAAATGGCCAACAGACACATGAAAAAGTGTTCAACATCGCTCGGCATCAGGGAAATCCAAATCACAACCTCGATGAGATACCATCTCACATCAGTCAGAATGGCTAAAATTAACAAGTCAGGAAATGACAGATGTTGGCAGGGATGCGGAGAAAGGGGAACCCTCCTATAGTGTTGGTGGGAATGCATGCTGGTGCAGCCACTCTGGAAAACAGTATGGAGGTTCCTCAAAAAGTTGAAAATAGAGCTACCATACGACCCAGCAATTGCACTACTGGGTATTTACCCCAAAGATACAAATGTAGGGATCCGAAGGGGTACGTGCACCCCGATGTTTATAGCAGCAATGTCCACAATAGCCAAACTGTAGAAAGAGCCAAGATGTCCATCAACAGATGAATGGATAAAGATGTGGTATATATATATATGATGGAATATTATGCAGCCATCAAAAGGAATGAAATCTTGCCATTTGCAACAACATGGATGGAACTGGAGGGTATTATGCTGAGCGAAATAAGTCAATCAGAGAAAGACATGTATCATATGATCTTACTGATATGAGGAATTCTTAATCTCAGGAAACAAACTGAGGGTTGCTGGAGTGGTGGGGGGTGGGAGGGATGGGGCGGCTGGATGATAGACATTGGGGAGGGTATGTGCTATGGTGGGCACTGTGAATTGTGTAAGACTGTTGAATCACAGACCTCTACCTCTGAAACAAATAATACATTATATGTTAAAAAAAAAAAAGAAGAAGATAGTAGGAAAGGAAAAATGAAGGGGGGGAAATCGGAGGGGGATATGAACTATGAGAGACTATGGACTCTGAGATACAAACTGAGGGTTCTAGAGGGGGTGGGGGTGGGGGTATGGGTTAGCCTGGTGATGGGTATTAAAGAGGGCACATACTGAATGGAGCACTGGGTGCTATACACAATGAATCATGGAACACTACATCAGAAACTAATGATGTAATGTATGGTGATTAACATAATAATAAAAAAAACAATGCAGGAAAAAATAAAATATCTGGCCTGAAATCCCTCATTGTTATCAGGGAGGACTCCTTTCCCCCATGTTTGCCTGGGGAGAAGGTGTCCTTTGAAATGAAATAGTAGGTTTAAGTGTCTGTGAATTTCCATTGGCCTTGCTGCGAAGGGAGTGGTGAGTTGTCATCAGACCCTGAGCTCTAGCGTCCATGAAATAAGCTAATAAGCTCTTTCTGGAAATGTGCCCATCCTACCATAGAGGTAATTCTTATTCCCCCAGCCTGTAAACTCCGTGAAGGAGGGTGAAAAATCTCGTGTCCTTATTATACTCAGGGCCTAGAATCCAAGGCAGAACATACAAAGTGGACATCACAACGTGGGGTGGGGTAGGAGGATTCAGAGCACAGTTGTCCTGCCTTGACATTGAGACTTGGGGGTAGAGTGACTGGCTCAGGGGCACAGAATAAGACAATGGGTCTGGACCTCAACCCAGGACAGAAGTTTCTCCTGTTTCCCTTCACTTAGAGCTTTTCCTTAATTTTCTCATTCAGTAAGGCATTTCATTCAGCTGTGAGTAACAGAACCCAGGAAGCAAGGTGAGGTTTTCATTTTCTCTCACCTAACAATGAATCTCAAGGTGAGTAGTTGCTGGTGTTGATTCAGTGATTGGAAGGGGGTGGGGGGGTGGCAGGGGAGAAGCATGAGACTTCTGTGATTCTCTTGGCCTTTTCCTGGTGGCCCCAAACCAGAGCCAGCATTAGGACATGTGGTACTCTTGCACAAAGTACAAAAAGACACTCTCCTGAGCAAGTGAAGTGCAACAGGACTCACTCCACCCCTGGGTAAACAATTTACTAAAAGACACCCTCACCAACAAAATCTAGATTTTTATAGTTGTCTCTACATACAAATGTGAGTCAGGTCATCTCAAATGAACCCCCGGAGTTTTTCCATACAGTACTGAAATCTCAATTATAGAAAGCCTAGGACCCGAGTTCTGAAGTAAAAACCACCACCCCAAACCCATACTGCTGGCAATTAAATAGTTAGAGACCCATCTAGTGGCACTACCCAGGCAATGCATCCAATGGGCTTACAGAGTTCACCTGCAAGTCGGGTACATGGCTACAAGGGGCGCATAGCAAGTGTCCTGGCAGAGGCAGGTGCTGAGCCATTCAGACACAAGTTCAATGCCACAGCAGTTTCAGTGCCTGGGGACATATACCCTAGGCTATCCAGGCCCCAGGCTACAAAAATGTTAGCTCTACTGTGGCATCCACCTTTACGCTTTGGTCAGCTTGCTCTCAGAACTGAGGGAGAGAAATTCACCTGCACCCAAACACACTTCTCCAGCTGACCGGAAAAAGTGAGAAGGGGAGTGGTTTTCATCACCAACAGGTGCAGATGAGAGCTAAATTGGGAGAGGGAGAGCGCACAGCAGATTAGTATTTGAATCCAGGTTAATATTTATAACTGACACCAGGCCAAAGCCCTAAAGAGAGGGGTTCTGGGTAACTGGTGCAGCAACTACATTTATAAAGTATGAATCAAACCCCTACATTTATAGCTGCCAGATCACTGTCTACACAATTGGCAAACTTGGGGAAATGCACACTACTTTCTCTCCACGATTCACATCAATCCCTAAAAAGGGCTTCACAGAAGCCCTGTTTGGGTCCATTTATGGAAACCAAATGTCCACTCTGTTTGTACTTACATTTTACCCTACTTTCAAGCTAGTAAGCTGGCCCGTGGCTGTTTCTTGCAAGCTGCCGAAGAGAAGGGATAGGTCAGAGACGAGCGATTTTTACTGTTCACAGCACAGCACCCGGCAGGAACATCAGCGTCTTTGCGTGGGTCCTCCTCACCCCGAGTCTCATGGGAGCAGCCAGACAGCGTAACCCAGAAGGACACCCCACACACAGCGTGTGCACACCACAGCGCAAGTACACGGAGCTTGGGGGGGATCCGCTGCTTTTATAGCAAGCAAGCCTGCTCTTCGTCCGGGGGAGACAGCAGCTTGTCTCACGAGGTTACCGGCCACATCAACAACCCTGACGCATGGTCGCCAGCACAGAGCCATGAGGATTTGGCCTTTTTGACACACACGCAGGGCATCTAAGAGCTTTCTCGCCCAACAGGGACCACCTCTGTGGCCAGAAAGCCAAAGCCGCATGATTAACAGTTCCACAGAACCTTCTGGAACGGGAAAGCACCAGTTCCCACCAAAGGGGTGCAGAGATAAACAAAAACGAAGACAAGAAAAGCGCGGGCGGGCAGCCTTGAGCTCGCTGGAGCGGGGCATCCCCCCCGACCGCGACCTGGTACTCAGGTGTGCGCCCGCCGGAGGCCCCGTGGGGAAGCGCAGCGCCCCGGGGTTCCCTCGTCTGCTCCGGCTCTCCTCGCGTCTTCCCCGCGAAGCTGGGGGGACGCCTTGCCGCTGCCGGCGCCTCAGGGTGCCCGCCACGCGCCGGGCCTTCGGAGCCGCCAGGCGGCGAGCCGAAGCCACAGGGCCGCGAGAGAGGGCCCCGCCTGCCTTCTTCCTGCCGCAGCCCGCTCGACGGGGCCAGACCGCGGCCGCGTGGCCCGGAGCCGGTGGCGGCGTTTCCCTCTCCCCGGCCGGCCCCGCGCGCAGCTGGGGGTGGGGGGCAGGCTCGGCGCCGGCGCGAGGGGGGCGGGCCCGGGCGAGCCGAGGGCGGCGTCCAACCGCCGGTTCCCCCCTGACCCCCGCTCAGCCCGCCAGGAAGGGCTCGGGCTGCCCGCCCACCGTTTGTGACGGTTGCCCGAACCTGATGGGAGACGGGGGCACTCGATCAAGCTGCGAATTCAAGCACGTCGGTGAATTTAAACACTCGCAGAATTTCAGAACATAATTCCGCCGTCATTCTGCCCGCCTTTTCTCCTCCCCTCCTTTCGCAGCTCGGACTCCTTTTCTCCCTTCCTACTTCCAAGGGCCGAAGCCAAAGAGGAAGGATAAGGGAGTGTCGTTAGAGTCGGGAATTGTCGGGACCAGCAGAAACAAGCCGTTTCAGTTCCGGCTCCATCTGCCACCTCAAACCTGAAATCAAAAAAAAGAAAAATCCTCCTGAGGAATCCAAACCCTTCGACCCAGATTCCCACGCCCCTTTGGCGATGTGCACCTCTTTTGCAGCCCTCTAGGGGGGCTGTTGGTGTTAACGGGGCGCAGAAGGACACCCAGCCACCTGGAGGCAAGTCCCGGAGGCACTGGCGGGGCAGTGGACGCTGCTGACCGTACTGTGCGGGACGTGGGCTTTAGGTGACCCGTTTCATCCACACTTGCTTCTCTGCGCCCTGTGGCCGATGGATTAGATTTTTTTTTTTTAAGATTTTATTTATTTATTTGACAGAGAGAGAGACAGAAGAGCACAAGCAGAGGGAGTGGCAGAGGGAGAGGGAGAAGCAGGCTCTGCACTGAGCAGGGGACCCGATGCGGGACTCGACCCCAGGACCCTGAGATCATGACCTGAGCCGAAGGCAGATGCTTAACCATCTGAGCCACCCAGGCGCCCTGGAATAGATTTTTAACGAAGCTAGCAAAGATTAGATACCCAGGAAAGAAAGCAAGGCCTAACTCGGCCTCCTTAGCACAGTGAACTATTCTCCAAACACTAGCCTAACTCTAGAGCAGGGATGGCAAACCAGTTTTACCCTTCATTTCCAACAGGAAAGAACCAAGACTGACCGACCGCCCAGAGCCTGGGTTGGATTTCATATTCGTAAAAGGTCGGATAAGTACTTTAGACTTTGCAGACAGAATGGTCTCTGTGGCAGTTACTCACTTCTGGCCATTGGATTATGAAAGCAGCCATGGACAATACATAAACAAGTGAGTTATGGCTGTGTCCCAATAAAACTTTATTTATAAAAACGGGCAGCAGGCCTGAATATGGCCTGAGGTTCATAGCTTGCCAACCCCCACCCTAGAGACCACTGTGTTGTAAGTATAATTATGACTTCAGGCTCAGGGGCAGGATTTTAAATCAGCCTTGTCTGCACAGGTGTTGTAAGGGGGGGGTAACATGTTCTAGGTCAGTGGTCCATAAAGTGGGCTATGCCTATTTCAGGCATATGTGTAATATCCTTTAAGATATAGAGAGTAGAACCACATTAGAATTTCTTTCATTTTTATCTTACCTGTTTTCATTTTGGACTATTGATCTTGTCTACCCCACCATGAATCCATGGAATTTGCAATGAGTCAGTCCATTCATGTAAATCAGAAGTCAGGTTTACAAACCTCTGAAAAGGTTATCACAGAGGATGTGCCCTTGAGTGCCAATAGCTGTCCATGGACTCTCCCTGCTGGTCTGGTCTGAGCTATGTATGTCTCCCAGGAACCCTCCTGGGAGGAAAGCAGAAGGCCCTAATTCCTTACAGGCATTTTTTGGGGGGAGTATGGTGTCCTTGCTATGCTAGAGGAGTCTTAGATTCATAATTCTATCTTGTATCTGGTCAGCAGCTCAGTTATTGGTCAAAACCAAGGAAAAGGAATATCCCACCCCCGTACGCACACACACACACACACACACAAACACACAGCTTTCACAAAAGCACTGAACAAATTGTGCTTTCCTGGCCTCTGGTGGTCTACCTCTCCCTTGATTATTCAGGCCTGCCATATATGGGTGGACATGTTGTACACTGCACAAGAATGCCATACCCAGGGAGGCATCATTGACATTGTATGCATGTTAGACTTATTATGACAATATTCTGGTATATAGCAGCATCATGTTCTAACAAAATCAGTCCATTATGACAATTTCTGACCAGTGGATATAAAACATCAAGGAATGGGTGCCTTTCTAATTCCACAAAGGTACTGCATGGGTTAGCAGCAGTCACAGCTACATGACACCTGTATTAGGTAAAAAATGGAAAAGAAGGAAAATACCCAGAATACAATAGATTCAAACTCTTCTGGGGCAGAGCTGTCTTGTGAGCACCTTTTACAGTTTGGGGAGCCTTTTCAGACCCAGCATTTGAACACTGAAGCATTAGAACAAACCTTTAAGAGTAAGGGTCTGGAGCTGATGGTCTACTCTCAAATAGTTGAATCTACTCATGACTGGAGGTAAAGGAGCAAAGGGACAGAAATCCTTTCCCCATCCCAGCTGCTCTCCCTTTCACACAGAGAAGAGGAGCTGAAAGAGGCAGTCAAAGCAGAGAGATGTGTTTTGCTGTTAACCCACACAGAAGCAAGTGATGAAGTAAGACTCCTTAAAGAAGAGCCAGCTGTTTGTCTTGTGGCTTCTCAGTATCCACTCCCCTTTCTCCTGGTAATAGCTCCCCACTTTCCCTTTGGGAAATAAGTTCTGCTCCATTGTGCAAAGTCTCTGGAATTGCCCAGCAAAACAACCTGCCTTCTACTGGCCAAAGGGATGGTCCTATGAATCAAACTAGGCCAGATGTGCTCTCCCTCTCTTCCCCCTCCTCTTTGTGATGGTTAATTTAATGCATCTACTGGGCTCTGGGATGCCCAGCCATTTGGTCAAACATTATTCTGGGAGTTTCTGCAAAGGTATTTTTGGACCAGATTAACATTTTAATCGTATGTGGATGGTGCTTGCCCAATCTGTTGAAGGTCTGAATCTAACAAAAAGACCAACCCTCCCCTGAGTAGGGGAGAATTACCCAGCAGACTGCCTTTGGGCTTCATCTGCAACGTCAGTTCTTTCTGCCTGATGGCCCTTGAAGCGAAACATCAGCTCTTCCTGGGTCTCCAACTCCAACCCACCCTGTAGATTGCACTTGCTAGCCTCCATAATTGTGTGAGCCAATGCCTTATCATAATTTCCCCCTCCCTCTCTCTCCCTCTCCCCTTTCTGTGTATATTCTATTTGTCCTGTTTTTCTCTGGAAAACTCTAATACACTCTCCCTCTCGATTTTGATGCATGGGTATATACACTCAAAAATATAAGAGTAGCTGGAGATCATTCATTTCAGCAGCAATGTCCCAAGGAAACTGTCAGGGACCTCAGTCCTGCTACCTAAACCCCTCCAGAGATGCTTCATTCTTCCCCTTTCCTGAAACTGGTTCTCAGTCTTCCCTAACAATTCTGTGGTCCACCCCATATCTTCTTTCAGGCCACAAACATTTACTAAGCACCTACTAGGTTCAAGGTCTGTTCTGCCGGGGAGGCAGCTGTGCACAAGGTGGCCCTTGTGGCTTTTGAGAATTGCGCAGAGCCTGGGGTTTTCCCTCTGACTTCTTCTGGAGGACCGGAGGACCGGCTTATTCAAGATGACCTAGAGAAGGGGCAGAGCCAGCAGTCTCTGCGGGGAGAATGTTAGTATCAGTCAGGGTTCTTTGGTGGTAAGCAATAGAAACCAACTCTCAAGGGCCACTTCTCTCTGATTACCCTGAGAAAACAACCCAGGAGCCCACCAATGGACTTATCTAACGTACTCCCTCTAGGATAATGAAGGACTCAACGGGAACACCTCCATGACAGCGGCTTCTCCACAGGATGCCCTCCACCTAAACCACGGTTTCTCCTCTCCTGCTTGCAACCCGAGGAGATACGTTACAATGAGCATTACATTGCTTGCGCCTCATTACGATTTGTTTCAAGTTTCATCTTCTTCACCAGCAGCCTTGTGAATGCCCTCTCCCCAAGACCCACAGGATTTATTCTGGGATTAGGCAGGAGACAAGATGAGAGAAGCTGATCAAAGTGGCCAGATGTGGCTTTCTCATCAGGTAGCGCCGGACACAACTGCAACTCTATTCTGCAGCAAGAAAGCCTGCTGTTTGCGTCACTGTGGGGGTTTCAGTGACTAGGGCTGGGAATTGTCACAGTTTAGTTGAGCACTCCTGGCAAACTCTGGAGCCAGCTTGCATAATGCAGTGTCTAAAGAACATGATTCCAGTGGAACAGAGCATGTTGGCAGTTAAAAATAGAACTCGGTCACATAACAACTCATGCATACACCATGAGGCTGGGGGAGGAACAAAATTAAATAATACTCACAGAGGGTTACTGAGCACCTGCCCAGTCACTTAGAGCCCGCACCCTCTGTCAATTGCCCTCCCGCAGAAGCCAGCTCGGCCCTGAAACTGAATGGCAGAAATAAACAACAGAACTGACCCAGTTAAATCAAGAAACAGGAGTTCACCTTTAAGCAGGCAGCAATTCAGGCAGCAGCTCCAGGCCAGGCCCCCTGGGAGATTTAGCTCTGTGCCCTAAAAGAATTAGCTGTTGTAGGTTCAGTAGCAGACATGCTGGGTTTACAGCTGCATGGAAAGCTGAGACCAGGGTAGGTCTGAATGCGTTTTCACTGCATGTGCACATGTTCCACTCTGTCCAGAATGCCCTAAACCTGGTCCCTGGCTCCTAAAGAGATGCAGGCGTCTCGTGACCCGCAGCCTGGGCTTGCAAAGAGCTGAGGTTTAGAAAAGAAAGATGTAGGTTTTCCTTACCAGGAAACACATTAAAACAGTGGTATAGTTCTCATTGGAAAGGTCACTCCAGGGAAGGAGTAGAGACCTCCTGCCTGGGAACATAGAAAGCTAAGCCTTCAGGACTACTGATATTGTAATATACTACCAGAAGAAAGGATGTGTGAGAGGAAAAGAAAAGGAGGCTCCTCCTACCTCACCCCTGCCCTCACCAGCCCTCTGTCCTGACAAATTGCTTCTCCGCTCTCTGCCTCTCTTCCCCTCTTTAAAAGTAACCTATAATGACTGTTTCCCTTCCGAACGCACCAGAATGGTAGAAAGTTTAATTGGATGCTGTGTCAGTTCTTTTGTTTCTGATTGTGGAATTCTAGAGCAGTAATATCCTCTGGGGAGCTTATAAAAATTACAGTACCTAGGCCACACCCCCGGAGATTTGGGGGTGGTAGGTCCCAGGCATGGGTAGATCGAAAAAGTCCCCCAGCTGATGCTAATGTGTAGCCAGGGCTGAGACCCATGAGCCTCGACAGAGAGAAAAATTGCTCTACTTCTTCCCAGGGAATGGTGGAAGACGGAAGACACATGGATTCTCCCACCTCCTCCAAATCTCCAAAGGGTTTCTTTTCATGGATTTGGA